TATATATGTCTTAGGATGAATTGTTCTTTAATATAATAATTTTGCATTAGGAAAAATATTTATAATATACCAAATATAATTGCATATATTAATGCAAAATCACCCACAGCAGCATTTCTTACAGTAACATGTTAAAAAGAGAATACTTTCACTTTTCTTTCTGGTTTACAAAACCTGTACAGTTTGTCCAGACACTAATGTCTTTATTTTTTCACATGCAGATCCTAATGCCATCTGTAATGTCTGGAGTGCCATAAGCAGTATGGTTTGGCATAAAGAAAGGCCTGTATCTGTGTTGTACTTACAGAGAAAGCCTTTAAAGTCCTCCGGGCAGCCGTGGTCGGGCCAGTCCGTGTACTGCAGGTGCCAGACGGTTCGCTCCTGTCCCGTGAGGAGGTGTTTGATCTTCAGGCCCGTTGTGGCATAGCACCCAGAGTCCGTGCGGAAGCGCGTCGTGATCTTAAATCGCCCGTATGTAACAGTGTTGTGGCGAGAGCCCAGACGAGGCCAATAGCGGAAACTCTTCTCACGACCCCCTTCCTGCAGGACGGGACACAAAACAAGCCGGTTCAGTGATGCAAAGGCTTATACATCAGATAGAAGATAGCCACTGTATATAACCAGATCTCAGATGTTTTGACTTTCACCTCCTCCGCTGTAACCATTGCGATGATAGCGACTCCTTGTTCCCAAACCATCTGCCAGAAGTCTTGGCAGGTGCTGGAGAGCGGACCCTGAGACGCGATGTAACTCCACTCTTTACCTCTGACCGTAAACTGATCAACAGAGAAACACAGAAAACACAATATAAAAGATGATTAATCTGATTGAAAACAGCATAAATATAGCTGCAATCAGCAATTTTTGGTGTTCAAGCACTTTAAGACCTTCAAGTTCATGCATAAAAAGATAAATTATGCGCAATTTAGCAAGCCTGAATGAACCTAAATCAGAAATAAAAATAAAAATAATTTTCAGGTAATTTAGAATAGAAATATATAAATTTACTTCTATGACTATTATATGCCTGATATCCATAACATTTTGCATGCTTCTTTAGGATCATAAGACACATGTGCTTACCTAATTTCGTGAAGTTCAACAGTGCTGCATGATCATGCATAATTATAATAATAATATATTTTTAACTTATAATTGTGTTTTTCTTCTCCCAAATAAATTAAATAATGTATTATTTTATATATTTATATTATATTATTATATTATATTAGTATCATTATTTTACTTTAGTTTTTTATGTTCTAGTTCAACGTGTTTTAATAATAATAATAATATTATTATTATTAATAACAATAGATTATTATCTCATTGTATTTCTTCCAAATAAATTAAATAATTTATTATATTATATTCGTTTTTATACTCTAGTTTAACATGGTTAAAAAATATTATTATCATAACTATATTATACAAAGTTTTAGGGCATAATAATAATTATTATTATTATAAACAATATTTATAATTATGATTATTATTATAAAACTTACAAGATTACTTGTTTCTAAGATTACGTTTTTATCTGCACGGTGAGTTTTGGGGCAGAATATTAATAATATTGTTATTAATAATAATAATAATGTTAAATAAACACATACATAAATATTATCATGATTATTAAAAGTCTTATAAAAACAGCAGGGTTTCAGCACTTTGAGCCTTAATCCTAAATATTAATTCAATGATCTGAAGCATCAATGCAAAGTGTCCATACATGGTCATATCGTAACATATCTACAGCTCACCCTGATGTGCGAGGCATTGATGTAGCCCGTGTTGTTCTCTTTGGTGGGCACCAGCTCCACACGCGTGTCGTCGTAGGGCAGGACGTCCTGGAAGCGGTTCCTGTCGCTGTTCTCGGGCATCAGAGCAATGGTGCACTCACAGTTGGGCCGCTTCTTAGGCACCTGCTCATACTCGGTGAACACCATCCCCTGCTCCATGCGCTGCTCCAGTATCTTACACTGCAGGAAACACACAGTACGTGAGGCTCTGCTCATCCAGAACCGCCTACAGCACGCTTACAGTGAGTGCAGATGTATTTGAGAAAATTCACTTGTCTCTCAAAATTCCGTACCTAAAATGTAAATTAGTATTTTAGTTGCTGCACCTCATTAATGAACAATCTGCCCTCAACAGAGCTGCTGCTTGATGATGATTAATTAAAACTAGATGTTTACATTTCATAGTTTTGATAGATTTGATTGATTGATAATAATTAGGGGTGTGACGAGACATTTATCCCACGAGACGAGACGAGACACGAGACTGGGTTCACGAGAACGAGACGAGATTTTTAGACTTTTTTTAAAGAAATCCTCAATGATGAAATATATAGGGAAAATAGTCTTTTATTCTTATTAATTAAAATCATGAAACTTATACATTTTCACAAATTTATTAAAAGTTTAACAAAAATTACATGTTTAGGGCCCTATGAAATGTTTTATTTTTTCTCACCATATTATTTATATTTTTTATTGTTACCAAATTCTGTGTTTTAGAATGTCTTATTATTTGATTGCATAAAACAACTTAATTTATTCATTTTTTTCTTAAAGTAGCCTTATGAATATTTTTTCTGGTTATCAAATGAAGGCATAAAACATTAATTTAATTTATCATTTATCTTTTAATTATTGAAAATTAAGCAAACAAGATTTTTTGGCAAACAAAGGGGATTTACTATTAAAATTAAAACATGGAAGACATGTTTTGTGTGATTATTCCTTAAAAAGTAATGTTTGTTTAATTTTAGTAGTAGTAGTAGTAGTAGTAGTAGGCTATGTACATTCTACTGAAAAATAGTTATAGGCACAATGTCTTCAAATCAAACCGGACTTTTATTTTGACGGGTTGCCATGAATACCTTTACAGTTCTGTGTATGAGATATGACGCTAGTTTTACTCAAATCAAATGCTAAAATGCTCATGAAGTGACTCTCAGAGCAGTTCTGGAGATGTTGTTCATGTGTTTACGTCCTCATTTAGTGAGACGCAGACGCTGAAATCACAGCGCGCTTCAGTATGTGTGTAGTAACTGAA